GCATGGTGGCTGTCGCGAACCAGAGGAGGGAGAAAGGGACGCGCGGGAGAGAGAGAGAGAGTGACGGGGGCAATTCCGTCTTTTTAACCAAAAATCCATTTTCCAAATATTTACGATTATTCCACTGAGCTATGCCACTGAGCTACTTTTGATCATATCTCTCTCGTTACAACTCCGATTCGAGCCCACTACGTGTCTACGGACTCATCTCACCGTGCTCTACACAACGGTACAACCGGAATTCCCAAATTCCTTCCGGGTAAGAAAATGACTAAAATACCCCTATCCCACGGGTAATTTCTCAATTCCACTTAAATTAATTAAACATGGGATAACTTTGGGGTCGGGGTGTTACATTTACAATGGGGGGTAATTTGATACATGGAAGCATCCCTATCGGCATTGCAAATCTTGTAAACTTGATCAATCTAGGAATGGAACAAAACTATTTTGGTGGCAGTCTCCTTGATGCAATTGGCAAGCTCCAGAAGTTACAGGGATTGTATTTGAATCTTAACAAGTTTTCGAAGCCAATCCCATCCTCCCTAGGTAACTTGACTTCAGTAACAACCCCTTCATGGAGGGTAATAGGTTTGAGGGAAGCATACCTCCAAGCCTGAGAAACTGCCGAAGCTTATTGATGTTTAACCTTTCTAGTAACCGACTAAGTGGCAACATACCGAAAGAGGTTGTTGGGCTTTCATCCCTTTCAATTTCTTTGTCCATGTCAAACAATTCTTTGACTGGTTCACTACCATCGGAAGTGGGTGAGTTGGTAAATCTCTCGGAGCTAGATGTATCAGCAAACAACTTATCAGGTGAAATCCCCGTAACCGTTGGCAGCTGCACTAGTTTGGTGAGCCTACATTTGGAAGGTAATGCTTTTGAAGGAAGAATTCCTGAAACTCTGGCAAAATTAAGAGGCTTGGAAGAAATCGATGTTTCACGCAATCACTTATCTGGGAAAATTCCTGAATTTCTAGGTAAGTTTAGAGCTCTTAAGCAGCTCAATCTTTCTTATAATGATTTTGAGAGTGCATTGCCTGAAGAAGGAATATTTTCAAATGCAAGTGGTGTCTCGGTTCATGGAAATAATAAGCTCTGTGGAGGCATCCCAGAATTACTTCTACCTGCATGCTCCAGCAAAAAGCCTAATTCATCTCAAGGACTACTTTCCCCAAAAGTAGTAATCCTTATAACTTGTGCACTTGCATTCATATCTCTATCATGCTTCATTGCTGCATGTAAAATGGTGAAAAGGTCAAGAGGTACTTCACGTTCTTATGAGGATTGGAAATCAGGTGTCTCTTACTTAGAACTCACTTAATCAACCAACGGGTTCTCTCTAGACAATCTTATTGGTTCAGGAAGTTTCGGTTCTGTATACAGAGGAGTACTCTCTAGTAATGGCATGGTAGTTGCTATTAAGGTATTAAACCTTTAACAAGAAGGAGCTTCCAAGAGTTTCACTGATGAATGCAAAGCTTTAAGAAGTATAAGGCATCGTAATCTTCTCAAAATCATAACTGCATGCTCAAGCATTGACAACCAAGGTAATGAGTTTAAAAGTCTAGTTTCCGAGTTCACGGAAAATGGAAGTCTAGACCCGTGGCTGCATCCAAGAGATGATGAACAATCTCAAGGTAAGAGATTGAGCCTGATTCGAAGACTAAATGTTGCCATAGATGTTGCTTCTGCATTAGATTATCTACACCACGATTGTGAAACATGCATTGTTCATTGTGATTTAAAGCCAAGCAACGTTCTTCTTGATGAAGATATGGTAGCCCATGTTGGTGACTTTGGTCTAGCAAGGTTCCTTTTGGAAGCATCAAATAATCCCACCAAAACTCAAACCATGTCAGTTGGGCTAAAGGGTTTCATAGGCTACATTCCTCCAGGTATGAGTTTTTATACTTCCTCATTTTTTCTATTCCTATTAACTAATTACTAAAGAAAATTAAATCTCTATTTATATATATATTTTTTAAAATTATATACATCTCTATATTTTTTTTATATTGGAGAAGAACTATTAGCAAAATTTTATATAAGATATAAACTCTGAAGGTCAATTTACTGTGACATCCTAATTTATGTGTTGAATGACAGAGTATGGCATGGGAGGCCAAGTTTCCGTACTTGGAGATGTTTATAGCTATGGGATACTGTTGCTAGAAATGTTCACAGGAAAAAGACCAACTGATGACATGTTCAAAGATGATCTAAGCATTCACCAATTCACAGCCATGGCTT